TCTCTGTAACACCTTGTATGCCAGTGGTACTCCCGCCTTGCTTGGGGTAGCATGCTTAAAAAAACAACAAAACATATATATATATATATATATATATATATATATATATATATATTATATAGTGAGAGAGAGAGAGAGAGAGAGAGAGAGAGAGAGAGAGATCCATGTGCATTAATTTCTAAGTTTACATACGAATTTTTTATTTGTTTTTTTTAAATATAGATAGATAGATAGATAGATAGATAGATAGATAGATAGATATGTAATGACAAAAGTACATTGGTGTAGGCTTTAAGAAATAAATTATTTCAAATGAGAATACAAGGTTCGGACCATAGTGTCCTTTTATAGTCCAAAGTAAACAAAATAGCTCTCCCAAGGAGGAGAGTAACGAAACAAGATAGACCACTCTTGATTATTCATAACAATATATTCATAAATTAATGTACTTTCTGTTTTATCTCTAAACTTTAAGAAATTACTTTGAAAGGGTTTCTTCAAATAATCTTTTTATGAATGTAGTCATATATGTGGAATGTGAGGGTTCGAAATACAACAAACGTCTGTTCCAATTCTACATTGAGAGAATGCTGAAGATGTAGGTATACTTAATTTAAATTTTTTGGCATTCGATTTATCTAGATGCATAACTTAGTCGACTTCGATCAACTTTCTACTGTCCTTGTTTTTTTTTTATTGCTAGGTTAAATCGTATAAGATTTGTTAGGAAAGGAGAACTAAAAATGTACTTGGATCTAAATTTACCATTGAAGACTCAGAAATTAGTGCATTTTCTATATATTTTGCTTTAATAAATTACTTCCTCTTTTAATTAAAACCGCATTCTTTTAGTCAAGATTATGATAACGTCGAATGCAGTGAATGTGTTTTTTCGTAAAAACAGAAATATATATAATTCGATTAATAAAATATTATTTAGTCGAAAGAAGTATTTTTGAAGGAGGAAACGTGTTAAATAGGATTTTTTTAATTTACCATTTGATTAACCTTTGTAACTAATGACCACAAAGATTCTTATTCCAATCGGCATCAGGTATAGATTCACTCTCTTGTAAAATCCACACCAGCTACAACAATATGTTTCGTAGCTAAAATTAAATTTAGAGATTTACATACGTATGAAGGAGATCCCGAGATACTTCCGGTTGCAACAAGTATTAGCTGAAATTCAAAATTAAAAAAAACAAACAAAAATCAGTCAATTCCGCCATGTTGATTCTTTTTTGACCAATGAGAGGTCACTTTCAAATGTGAAAGAGACAGTCACTTGGAACGAACCCAGCGATAAACACTAAAATCTTGCAGACACGCCAGTAGCCTTTTGGTCGTGATCCAGAATCCATATTACGCAAAAACACATTTCATCATTATGACACACAACACAAAACTGTCACCGGATATTGCCAAAAATATTCCTGCAAAATAAGGGTTAAAGAGAATATTCATAATTAAAGTGCACAATATGAGGATATATATATATATATATATATATATATATATATAAGATATGATTGTATCAACCAAAAAATTCAATAACCAACAATTATTTATTCTTAAAAGAGTGCTAATTACAAAGTAGAGCATATGTGTTGACCTGGATGACATATTTGAGTCTATTCTAACGTAATTTTAATGAAGAAATAAATTGAATAACATATGTATTTTCTTTTCTCATCAGTAATTTTATAGTTTTAAACTTAATAGTGATAAATTTGGATTTTTTAAAATTTATTTTTTTTAATTTTAATATCAAATTTTATCATATAATTCTATAATTATTGGTTAGAATAAATTTTTTTTAAATATTACCCGTATTTTAAAGATCTGAATAGCTATTATAACATGATTCGTTGTCACCTTTTTGAATTTTCCTATACTTCAATTTTGATTGGTCATTTTAGCTTTTGTAACAACGTTTTCCCCTTGTGAAGGATCGTTAATTAATTTAAAATTTTTAAAACCATTTATTTTACATTCAACATCAGTTCTTGATAAGACACCGGGGTGTTGAAACAAAATGGCTATTTTTTGTATATTTATAATATATATATATATATATTATTATATATATATATATATATATATATATATATATATATATATATATAGAATATATATATATATATATATATATATATATATATATATTACCAATAAAGAAAATCAATTTAGGAACTCAACAAAATAAGAATAAGAAAGACAGAATATTTTTTTGAAATCATTGTTTTGAATTTGTAGGTGTGATGATACTGGTGTATATACATTTACGATTCAATCTAATAAATTATATCTTAAGGATGCAATTAGTGTTAGAGTTTATATTTTATATTATATTATATATATATATAATTATTTATTTTTTTTATATACAATAAAAAATTTAAAAAATTTTAACAAAAAAATAGCCATTTTCAAGATTTAACATCATCATTTGATAATCTTACTATCATTGAAACAAAATGGCTGTCAAAAAAAATTTTTTAAAAACAATTCATGTTAGTAATTTTGAATAAATAATTATATTTGTTTTACTCTATTAATATTTAACCTCAACTCTTTTAAGAATAAAATTTTTGGTTATTTGAAATTTATTCCGTATACATCAATCCTATTCTTGTATATATATATATATATATATTATATATATTTTTATAATTAATACACAAATCTGTAAATGGAATTTCAGGAGGATTTAGATTCTCCAGAGCTCTATGTCAAAAGACAGAGCAAAATTATTATTAATTAAATAATATCAAATATATTTAAAATCCCATAGGTAATACTTTTTATTTTGAGAGCTCTAAAAATGCAGCCTTTAATCTTTAAAAAAAAGACAAAATTCAATAATATATATATATATATATAATATATATATATATCAAAAATTCTCTGTTTAAAACAAAAAAATTATATCTTTATATATATATAAATTTTTTTAATATATAACTAAACTTTATCTATAATAAAATCATTTTGAATAAAAATATAAAAGAAAACTTATCTTTTTGTTAAACAGTTTCGTCTCTCATAGATTTTATGACAGGGCAAAATAATAAATTTATTTTGTAAATAAAATAAACAGAAAAAAAAATGTCATTAGTTTTTTCAAAATTTAAAAAATGGTTTAAGAACTTTATGAGTAAAACATCATTAACTGAAATAAATTAAATCATGAATGAAACTAAGTGATTAATAAATCATTAATGTTTATGCAAATCAAATTGATTGAGTATGAAAAGATTTGTAATCATTAGTAAATTTATTAAGTTTGTAGCAATAATGCCACTAAGACATCATTTTTACTAGAAGGAAAAATACATCATTGGTCTAGAATTAAATAACCTGAACATATCATTCCAGGATTTTAGCTGCAATTTTTGCATTATCTTTTTGAAATTTTCAGCAAATGGCATTTAATCAAGAACCTGTGGGAAAATCGAGAAAAGAAATTTATTAAAATAGGATTGACGGTTACATCGAATTATTTAAAACAATGAGATTTAATTGCCAATAGAGTTTTTCATGCATTCGAGGTATCATCTCGAAAAATTGAAATTTCTATCATTCATTTTATATAAAAACATTTTTTCTAGAAAAAAGACAGAGGGAAGTCATTTCATTATTGTCGGTGTTTAAGAAATTTTGAAGTGGGAATCATATGTCAATTTTATAACATTACAGACTCTTGTCTGAAGGAATTTGAATCTCAAGATATAAAGCCAGACCAGCAGTCCAAATCTTTTAGGAATATAAAATGAACAGACGAACGGTAGATTTATGAATGATCTTAAATCATTTTATCGATATATATATATATATATATATATATATATATATATATATATATATATATATATATATATATATATTATAATAATCATAAGGAAAAGGCAAACCTAATTTTAAAATTTTAAACGGATATTCAGGGTAAAGCTTTTCTAGGTCTTTTTATTTTTTTACTGTTTTGCATTTTTTTTTTTTCAATTTGGACTTGGATTTTAAAAACTATGACGAAATTTTATTGTTTTATTTTAATTTATAGCATGGTTCTTTTTTTTATTCCCATTTTTCCTATAAACTGATTTGTTCTACTTCAAAGTTAATTATCTGAGGTTTTTCCATTTTATTAGTATATTTATATATATATATATATATATATATATATATATATATATATATATATATATATATATATATATATATATATTATTTTTTAAATTAGATTTTGGATTTTAAGTTGTGTTATAACAACAAAAATTTTTGATTTCATTTTTGCCTTGAAAAATTCGGAAGACGAAATGGATAAAATTAATAAGATTTTTCCAATTGTCATTTTATATATATATATATATATATATATATATATATATATATATATAATATATATAAATATGTGAATAAAGACAAAAATTCCCCATCCTATGACTTCACTGCAATTTTGTTTTTTTTTACCGGAATTATATATTTCTGATTTATTTTTTGAATTTGTAGGTCTGATGAATTTTTCGTGATGACGATTCTGATGTAATAAATTATAAAATTATATTTAATTAATATAATTGGAATATTAGTGTTCGATTTTTTTTATGCATATATATATATATATATATATATATATATATATATATATATATATATATATTATATATATATATATATATATAAATTCTCACGTGAAAAAACTATTTTGAATTCATTTCCTTTTTCCTTTCCTTTTCATTACTTTCCTTTTCTTTTTCTCGAACTTATTTTTTCAGTTTTGTTTTACACATGTTCTCTTTCTTTCTTTCTTTTTTCTATCAGGCTTTCCTTTTCCTTGCTATCTTGTTTGATCTCCTTGTCTTCTTTTTCTTTATTACTTTTTCCCCCCTCATTTTTCGTTCTTTTTTTCGCCCTTTTTGTCGTATATTTTTCTTGTTATCTTTTTCGTCACTTCCTTTTCTTTTTTAAATTTAAAAAAAAATTTGTCGTATTCCTTGATGTCTTTTTCTCTTCTTTCTTCCGTTCTTTTTTCTTTCGTTTCTTTTTTTCCTTTCTTTCTTTCTTTCTTTCTTTCTTTCTTTCTTTCTTTCTTTTTTCTTTTTATTTCCTTTGTTTTTTCTTTATTTATTTCCTTCGTTTTTCCTTCTTTCGTTTATTACGTTCCCCTTCTTTCTTTCATTCCTTTCTTTCCTTCTTTCTTTCTTTTCTATTTTCCCTTCTTTATTTCCTTTCTTTTGTCTTTCTTTATTTCCTTTCTTTTTCCTTCTTTGTTTCTTTCCTTTTTTCCTTCTTTAGTTTCTTACGTTTCCCCTTCTTTCTTTCATTCCTTTCTTCCCTTCTTTCTTTCCTTTCTTTTTTCTTTTTTTTCCTTCCTTTTTCCTTCTTTCTTTCCTTCCTTTTCCCTTTTTAGTTTCTTACCTTCCCCTTTCTTTCTTTCCTTTCTTTTTTCTTTTTTAGTTTCTTACCTTCCCCTTTCTTTCTTTCCTTCTTTTTTCCTCCTTTCTTTCCTTTCTTTCTTTCTTCCTTCTTTCTTTTTTATTTATTTTTAACCGTCTTTCTAGCTTTCTTCCTTTCCTTTTTTTCCTGTTTTTGCATTTAACCCATTAATGCACACAATAAAATCAGGAATTCATTATAAGAATTAAAAATCCAGACATTTTTTTAGGTTTCTTAAGAGATCCTATATTATTTTTAGGTTTATAACAACTCCAGTGTTCATTACGTTGGCCTACATATGACCCAGTGGCAACCAATTTATAATTTTCTTAGTTAATTTGGGACGCTGCATTGCATTTAAATTTTTGAATTACAAAGTTGATTGGGCAGAAAGAAGCCGAAGTAGACTTCCGCAAGCGAGAAGTGCAATATAAGAAACCGTGAGCTTAGAATTTACGGCTACATCTAGCCATTTCAACTATAAAATTATAAGACCTTATTACCAATCTATTACTGCGCTTAAATTCATAAAGCTTAGGTACCATAGAGCAAAGTTCATTAGAACTATTACTATGAAAGTATTCATAGAAAAGTCCCAGGGAAGCTACAGGTGGACAAGTGACTGGAGCCGAGATGCCAGGTCAGGACCAATAACATTGCAGATACTTCTTTGGATTTTATCAAGAATCTCTAAATAGAATAGTAGTTTACCGGACTGTGTGGCAGCAATTAAATTCAAGCATATTTTTAAAAATGGTAGACTTATAAATATGCAAGATAGATTCTGGTGAGAGAAATAGTCTAGCACGACACGATGAATCAACTTTCTTAGCAGCAGATTAAGCAATGGATTCAATATAATCGTTCGTTTGAGAAGGCGCAATAACTCATTCTCCTGGAGGTTAGCATCAGCCATGCTCATGGAAGATTAAAAATGTTTTTTTTTACTATTAAAAGAGAACAGTTTTGTCTTGAAGGCGTTAATATTAACAAGCCATTTCTTGCTCTAGTTAACAACAGAGTGTAGATCATTTTTGAGATCAGCTGATAATTTGACCTTAGATTTGTACTCCTTGGCAGCAGTATTCAAAGCATGGACGAATAGTAGACTTATAAATATGTAAGATAGATTTTGGCAAGAAAGATTGTCTAGCATGGCATAGAAAACAAACCTCTTTGCAGCAGACCTAGCCTTTAATTCAATATAATCGTTTCAATTCATATCAGCGGAAATGTTTTTTACGAAACTCATGATTGCTATTGAATTCTAGATTGCACAATTTTTTTTTTATATTATAATAATGCGTGATGATAATGACAATTTTCCTTCCGCCATGATTTCTAAGTTATGAATGGAAATTGTATAAAGTTCTTGGATATATATTGGAAATTAAAACAATAAAAGAAAATATTTTGTTAAATTTTCGTATGTATGCTTATTATTTACATACACTGTATTTTATTTTAAAATTAAAAAAAATGTATCCAAATGTAAAATATTAGCAGACGTATTGTCTGCTAGCGTAATGATATTATTTTTTATCGCAGACGTTTATTATCGTCTGCTTTAGTGATGATTTTTATATACTAGCGGAAAAAAAATAAAAGGTAACTGATCTGTTTATTTTGGTCATATAGGGTCTTCTCGTGCGTATGAAAATTGACTCGTTTGAGTTTAAACACGCCTTGGAGATGCTCATAAAAGAGCGAGTTCTCGCCTATTGGGAGTTTTTGACAGCGGTCCGGGGTCCTTGGTATGCTGCTTTAGCCAGAAGGGAGAGTGACGTCATTATCCCTTCCTCCCTCAACATCATCCATGAAGACCGACAACCACAGAACTGAGCGAAAGATCTCGCCATGAAGAAAGCGGTTTTACACCTTTAAAGATATCTTCTCGTGTGAGCCCAAATTATTCATGTTTAAGTATCCGGTAGAGCAAGCCGATATTTTAAAGGGTTAAATTTAAAACCCGTTATTATGGCCCTTATGAAAGAGCTGAGACATCCTTTTCGTTCTGCTTGTAAGTAGAAAAATCATTTTATTTACATGTATGATGTTAAATGAGAATAATCCCATAACACTTGAACTTCTATTTATACAATCCACATACAATTCATTTATGTCTATGTCTAACTGTTGTTTATATTGTAAATAAAATTTCTCTTTCTTATTTCTATAAACATCGAGCTTTTGTCGTTTGTTTCCTTCTGTCTTTGCTTTTATTGTTAATCTTCATATCGGATTTGCTGTTGCTTGTTCTCGAATGGGAGACATTTCTGGGAGATAATACACTGTCTAGTTGCCCCTCACACACATTTTGTTTCTAGTATTATGGTCACGTAGACGTTCGAGATCGCAGGCGTCAATTTCCAGTTTATTTTTTCGATATATAATTCCTTTACATTGTCTGAATCATGAAAAAAAAAATGGAGGTGGGTGGGAAACTATTAATGTATAGTTTTGTGGGGGTCCGGTTAAAAGAGATTGGAGAGAATGGAGATCAAGTGACAACAAGGCGCATCGTGAAAAATGACGGGAGATACTCAGGGAGATATAAGACCAAAACCATTTTATTAAAATAAAATAAAAGTAAATTCTACTAAATATCAGCGATACGAATTAAAGACCCGTCATAATAAATCATTCCATCTTAAATAAGTAAAAAAAATATTTTGTGGTAATTTTTAACATCAACTTGAGATTTTTCTTGTTAAAAAGTTGAAGAATTTGAACACATTCAACATTATGGATAGAAAATAGTAAATTTTATATAGCGTTTTTTCGTGCCTTAAACAAATTCACGGATTTGGACGAAAAACAAAATAGACCCCAGAATGATGTCAAAATCCGTGAGAATTTTTCATCCTTTAATATTCAGCTGTGCTTAGTTTAATTTGTTACCTATATAAATGTAGGTAGGGGAAAAAAAAGCAAAAGTTGATAAGATAGCGGCCATCGCAAAACACTACCCGAGTCCCCAATCAATCAACTTTGATCTTCAAAAATGTAAATGCAGTTTCAATCGTTATCTTCTTCTTAAATATTGTTCTTTTATTGTTATCTTTCCTTAATAGTGCTTTTTTCTCATATTCTCTCGCACTCAGTAACCCAGTGCGTCTTAATGGCTTTATCACCTTGCTTGGAGGCAAGATAATTGAAAAAATATGAATATTTTTTTTCGGTAAGGTCTCATTTTACAGTTTAAATAGTTAGATGTAGCCGTAAGTTCTATGCTGAGAGTTTCTTCTATTGCACTTCTCGCTTGTGGGACTCTCTTCTTGCTCCTCAATCAAATTTTATTTTTAAACATTTAACCCTAGAACACTTAACCCTCAATTAAATTTACACCACTACTAACCATGGGTATATCATATCCGATTTTGAAAATATCAAAAACAAAAAGTTGGAAGGGTTAGATTTCACCGTATATTTAGAAATTCTTGATAAAATCCCCAAAAGAATCTGCAATCTTATTGGCTTTGACCATTGCATTTCGGCTTCATTCATTTTCCTTCCGCCATGATGTATCTTTCCTGTGCACTTTTCTATAAATGCTTTCAGGGTAAATGTTCTAACGAACTCTCCTCGATGACATCTAAGCTTTATGAAAGCGCAGTATTAGATTGGCGGCAAGGTCTCATCGTCTTAGAGTTGAAATGTCTAGATATAACCGTAATTTCTATGCTAATAGTTTCTTCTCTCGCACTTCTCGCTTGTGGAACTCTCTTCCGGCTTCTTGCTTCCCAATCAAGTTTTTTTTTTTTTATCGTTACTTTAAACATTAAATGCGATATCAATTGTTTTTATTTGTATTAATTCTTGGTCTTTTTTTTTCCTCTCTACTTAATGTTATATTTTGCTTTTATTCTCTAACACTGAGTAAACATCTTTGCGTCTTAGTGGCTTTATTGCTTTGTTCGGGGTGAAATGATTGAAAAAAGGCAATAAATTCACAAGTAGAACCCCCCTCCCCCAAAAAACCAGACGCTAAGGGAGACAACCTTAAAATAAACTTTACCTGATTATTTCCCTTGCCCGCATCTGTTTCCTTTTTCCTTTTTCTTTTTTGGCAAGAACCGTTTTACACAGACCGGCATTTTTTACGCCTTAATAAATAAATAATTTATTAATTCAAAGTGACAGCTGACTTTAATACATCATCTGATGTCGCTGGACTGCAGCGCGAACGTCTCTCGCCGAAAATGCATTTTTCTCTATATGTTCTGTCTCTTTTTTGCCAGAAGTCTCCGGTGCCTGGAGCGACTTAACAATGGGCGATATCTGATGTCGCTTAAGCGGGCACTTGCACAAAAGACTACAGCAGATGTCCCCGGAGCTTTTTACTTATTGCTTCGGAGGCAAAATAAATGACATTTATTTAATGCCCACACGAACTCGCACGCCAATTATTTGCATTATATCTCTATAATAATTAAACTTTTTGTCCATATCATAATAAGTGACAAATTTTATTTTGTCCATATACTAGGAATGAAAATACATATATATAATTTAATAAACTGAACATTTATATACACACATACATTGTGGAATCATATATATATATATATATATATATATATATATATATATATATATATTATATTGTTTAATTAATTTAAAATATGTTTTCGTTTCAAAAATAGAAGCTAAAAGCCCTGAATTTAATTTTTGCAATTAAATTAAAATTATTTCATTTCATAATGGAAGCGAATTTTGGACTCCAAAATTCGCTTGAGGGATGGAAATGGAATTTAATTGCAAAATTAAATTCGGGGCTTTTATTTCTATTTTTGAAACATGGTTAGAACTGTGTAGCGAAAAAAAACATATTTTAAATCAATTAATTTATAATATTATGCTCTGTAAATTTACATTGAGCACTATTTGTAAAAATAAAATATCTTTAAGAACACCGGATTATATATCTTACTGTTCTTTCTTTTATATATATATATATATATATATATATATATATATATATATATATATATATATATATATATATATATATATATATGTAAATATATATATATATATATATATATATATATATATATATATATATATATATATATATATATATATTTATATATAAATATATATATATATA